AATCAGGTTAAAAAACATAAAAATCATTAAAAAGCAATTTTTACTATCCCTACCCTAATCCTATTCTAACTCTAACCTTAATTGCTAGTCTTTTATATAATTGTTTGTTTTGATCCAATTAAAAGGGATAAATTATTATTTTTTTTAGTGATAAAATTATCAAAAAAATTTTTTTTTGTAAAATTTCGTTAACAAAATACATGATTTTTTCAGAATTTTAAATCACTGTTTTGAGTAACTTTATTCTACTATATTTGATATTTTTAACCTCAAAATTCGAAAATAAGATAATATGTAGGTTGAGAATAATCTTAGACTTGAAGTTTATAGTAATTTCATATATACAGTATATATATTGTGCCTCAGATTAACGTTTGACTCAGATGTCAATCGGCCTAAGTTAGATTAGGGTTAGGATAAAAATTTGAAAAGGATTAGGACTTAAATCAATGTCGATCAGTTAATGCTGGCCAAACTATCAACAGCTGAGGTGTGTCAGCTGCAATCTGAGTCAAGCATTAATCTGAGGTACAATATATACAATATATCAAAACATCATGTATGAATTAGAATTAATTTGCTGATTTTGAAAAAAGCAGAACAACCAAACTGAAAAATCAACTTTGGTCAACTTTTTCATTATTAGCTAGAATCACCTTAATACGTATTATCGAATTGGAAAACCTATATCAATTAACTGATTAAACTGTAAACATTTACAAAGCAAAAAAAAAAATAAATAAATAAATAAAATGAAAAATACATTAAAAAAACAGAAAACAGGAGTCGTTCGATTGATCTAAAATTATTTATTAAAAGCTATTTATAAATGTTTGCATAATAGTACAATAAGATTCTGTTTTTTTTTCTTTTTTTTTTTTTTTTAATAAAAATAAATCAAATTGCAACATACTGTACTCTTATATTTTTGTCTTTCAATCATTGCATCACTTTTGTCCATATTTCTTCGAGGCTAAAATTTAACTCTAAAAGCATAGTAGAAATTTGTGATTAAAGTGAACGATATCAGAATTGTTTATTATTTATAAAAAGAATTTGTTCTTTTACAAAACTCCTATCAATTTCTAATAGATTTTTCGTTTGCTAATGAAGGTCTTGTAAATTTTACGAATTTTATATAATCAGAACTTTGCTATCATTTGATGATTCGTCCTAGTGTTATGCATATAAAAAAAGTCATAAAAACATTATTGCGGGCTAAAAATTATACAAATACAATTATATCTGTAGTACAGATGGGAACAGAGCGTTGAGAAGGATTATATATAGAGAAACAATTATTCTTGATAATAGAATGAATCTAACATTTTTAGTTAATAGAATCTATAATTTTATCATACCAGAGTAGTGATTTGAACCAGTTGGGCTATAATCAGTTAACTGACCCGAATTGAATAAATTTCAAGTAGCCATTTAAGTAAATTCTTAATCAGTTGACCTGAACAACTAGTTGAGTATCAGTAATTGGTTGACAGGATATAAATGACGGAGCAAATAGTCCGAGAACTTCTGAAAAAAAATAAAAATTTAAGTAAAGATTCGAGAACTTCTGAAGGTAAAGTGTGAAGTAATCTTAATCAGTTGCAATCAGTTGATATTAAATATTTCGGTTTGATTACATGACTAAGAAATTTTTTTTCAGTTAAATTACTATACTAGAGTATCATAAATCCTCATGATGTCAGTTTCTGGTTTAACCTATAAAGAAATTAAGCAGCGTCAACAATTATATATATAAATTAATATGAAAATATTGCAAGCTTCTTCAAATCGAACCACCTTCTTTCCATCAGAAGTTAACTCAATTCTATCCCAGAATATCTTTGTATCTTTGTCATGTGTAAATGATGTTTCTATATAATAAAAAATAAAATATTAGATTAGAAATCATGAAAATATTCTCTCTAGTTGTAGCAAAATCACCTTTATAACCATCTTTTAACAATTCCACAGATTATTAATGAGCTGGTGTCATGCAAATACTTTCTAGTTATAAAAGCCTTAGAGACTCCATATTACTAAAATCAGCAAGCTACAACAATCACAAAGACTTTCAAAAAGCTGTCATGTAAACCCCCCTCCTAATCATAGAAGCCTCTATAAAACTATCTTTTAACAGTCCCACAGACCATTAATGGATTAGTATTATGCAAAAACTTTCTAGTCATAGAAGCTCATATTGCCAAATTAGTAATTCACAACAAACACGAAATTCATCAGAGAGCATCGTGCAAAGGTCCAAAGATAACCCAGTTAGCTATGGTGAAGATACCTCTATAACCATCTCTTAACAATCCTGCAGATCATTAATGAGTTAGTATCATGCAGATACTTTCTAGTCATAAAAATTTTGAAGACCCTATATTACTAAAATTAGCAAACTACAACAATCACAAAGACTTTCAAAGAGCTGTCACACAGACCCTCTCCTAGTCATAGAAGCCTCTATAAAATCATCTCTTAACGATCCCACAAACCATTAATAGACTGATGTCACGTAAATACTTTCTAGTCATAGAAGCTCATATTGCCAAATCAGTAATCCACAACAAACACGAAGTTCATCAGAGAGCATCGCGCAGAGGTCCAAAAATGACCCAGTTAGCCATGGTGAAAATACTCTAAACTGCTACCTAAATCTGCAAAAACTTACTTTAAAGGCCTTATTCATGCGCTCAATGTGAGACTTGAAATCTGTTGTGCTATTTTTTAAAACAGTAGATCAAGAGATTTGCGAAGTTTAAATGCTTCTCTTTTGAATGAATAAGTAAAGTTGTCTTTTTTATAACGATATTTATAAAAGCCAGCAAGACTCCATTCTTTGAGTAGTGTATTGATAAAATATGCATCGACTTTTATTTTCCTATAGATATCTATTTCGAAGGCTTCCAAGAAACAGGAGGAATTTTGCGTTAGTGCATAGTAGAAGTTTGTTTTGATCTGAAGAGGGGAAAAAAATACGGATATAAATAAAGGATCAATGGGCCCAGTGATCATCACATCACGTGAAATTACGCAATTACATCATTTGTTTACTTGCACTAACAAATCGGCCTAAGCTATACCATCACCTAACCCTAAAACTAGCCCTAATTTAGGCCACTGATCTTGAAACTTCCCGTCTAATTATTAACGTTAATGTAAATAAAGGATTTTGGTATCTAAGAGACTTTTTTATGAATTTCATCATGTATCCACATTCAACTGATGACAATAGTTTACGCTGTACAATTGCTATATATGGAGACGCTCACAGCAAAAGCAGGGGATGGAACTATATAATATATAGCCCCATCCCCTGTTTTCGCTGTGGGCGTGCCCATATATCGATTTCGTCAAGTATATTTTTTTTTGAATTTAAACCGCTTTAAGATAAAATTTTGTTCACTCGTTGTATTACAAATTAAATTTATTAAATCTAAAAATAATTATAATGTTTTATATCTATAATTACTACTGTCGCATTAGATCACGAATATTATAAAGATCCTCCGTATCTACAATTATTGTAATTCTTAAAACAAATCAGAACCTTCATGTAAAGGTTTATGTCTCTATTAAACTGTCATTGTATTAACATAGAAACTTTTAAATGTCGTATATCAACATCAAGTGAATGCATATAATTTGCCTTCAAGTAATAAGAAATAGTATAACATATAATGAGCAGCATTTTTTATATTTTTGTAAAAGAACAATTTATCGAATCATTAAGAAACTATAAAGGGATTAAAATGTTTAAATACTAATATGTGAAAAGTAAATTTCACAGAATTATTAGGTTTCAAATAATAATATTGTATAAATTAAGGCTATTGTTTAATGTAAACGTGATTAAGAGGTCTCATTACTAATGAAATTTTATTCCAATATAAAAGAATAATGAAATTAGGAAACAATCTAATGACAAAATCTAATCTTTGCACATTATACAATGATTATATACAAAATATTTTACAGAATTGTTTTTGGTAAATTATATTACCATTTACCATACTTTAATTCTAATCTTTTTTTTTCTTCAAGAGGTATCCTAAGTAATGTTGTTAAAACTGGCAACAGAGCTTTCTATAATTTTAATTAAAGATAAAATGAATCAAAAATAAATAATAATTGAACAATTCTAAAAATAAATAAAAATAATGTACCCGTTGCTCTTTATGTTCCAAGAATTTAAGTATAACACCTCGCAAATAGTCAACCTTAACATCATCATCTAGCCCTGTACTAAGGATTGTAGGAGGATTAGATGGTATTGAATTTCTTATCGCTGTAGGAGATGAGGGTTGTAAGGGTGATGTTGGTGTACCACGATCTGATGATTTCTGAAGTTTACGGACTTCTTCCTTGAGTGACTAACGATAAGAAAATTGCATTGATTAATACTAAAAAAAGAATTGCATAAATAATAATAAAACAATAAATAATAACTAATTTTACTCTATTATTATTTCTTAGTTGGCCTTCTCGCATGCGAGCTTCCTCGAGTAATTTTTCATACTCCTCTTTACTTCGTTGAAGGTTATGTTCCAACTCCCGATATTTAACCTAGAATTTTTATACTATATAATCAACCTTGTGACTTCAAAAATATTATTATTATTTATTAACTATAACCTACAGATTTCTCGTCAGCATTGGCCATTTTTGCGGTAAGAGCATTCATCTTTTCGTCTAATTCTTGTACCAACTTTTTCAAAGAATCATTCTCATCTTGCGCTAGTTTCAAAAGCTCTTCTTTTTCTTGAAATGCTGTCATTAGTTTACTTTTTTCTTGCTCTCTCGCTGTTAATTGTCCAATCATATCTTGTTTTTGAACATCAGACGTACGTTTAATTTCAATTAATTCTAATTCGGCTTTTTCTTTTCCTTGCTTATAATCTTCGATTTGTTTTTTTATAACCTCCAATTTCTCTGTTACTCCTGTTAAATCTTCAACTTTGGTCTTCAAAGTTTCATTCTCTCGTTTTATTTCCTTAAGACGTTTCTTTAATGAAGTCGTTTCTTCTTCCAATGCTTGTGAACGCTCTTCAGTTTCTTTTAACTGACGTGTCATCTCCTTAGAACCATGTTGTAGTGTTTCAAGTAATGATTGTGATGAGTCAAATTCAGCTTGTTTTATCTGTAATTGATCAAACAATCCTTCCTTTTCAGTTGTTAATTTTTCAATTTGTGCAGATTTTGCTGATAATTCTTTGTTAAATCGTGCTGACTCCTGTTTCAAATTGGCGGTCGCGTTTTGTTCTGAAACTTTATGTAATTCCTGAAGTCGTTCCATTTCCTCACTAATATCTTTTTTCTCTTTTTCGAGTGTATGAATTCTTAATTGGAGCTTTTTTAATAAGGTAACCGTTTTATTGCGTTTGTCCTCTTCTTCAAGTATTTGTTTTCTTAGGCCCTCCATTTCAGACTCATGTTTTTGAATAGTTGCTTTAGCCTCATTTAATGATTCTTGAAGGTCATGTTCACGCTGTGTTACAGATTTCAACCTTGACTCTACATCTGATAACTTTTCAAGTGCTTGGGTTTTGGCAGCATGAAGTAAAGCATTATCTGATTCGAAGACTTTATAATTTTTTTCGGTTTCTGACAATTTTTCTTTCATTTCTCGAACAGCTTCTTTCTCATCATCCAATTCAGTATGAATCTCATTTGACTTCTTTTGAACAATTTCTAAATCTTTTATAAGACTTTCTTTTCCAGAAATTAGATCATTTCGTTCTTTAAGAAGTTCTTCGATCTTCTTTTCAAGCTCAGCATGAGTATCGTTTGATTTTTTTTGTGCGGTTTCAAAATCTCGAGTGAGATTCTCTTTATCAGAAATTAAATCAGTCTTTTCTTTAAGGAGCTCTTCGACCCTTTTCTCTAACTCTAAATGTGTATCATTTGATTTTTTTTGAACATTTTCCAACTCTTGAATAAGTTCTTCAACCTTTTTCTCTAATTCTACGATCTTTGAATCTGCAAGAGAAGTTTCTAACTTTAGGTCTTGTGAATTTCTTGGTAACTCTTCCTCAACAATTTTCAATTCCTCTTCTTCTTTTAACACTTGATCACCCATTTTACTTTTATTCTTTTTCTTTGATTTGTGGTTTTTTTGTGATTTTGATGCCATTTTTTTCGTTTTTCGTTTTTTTTTTTTTTTTAGAAAAAATGTATATGATATGCAATATAATTCGTATGTGACCAATGAGGAAAATGACTTTCTCGGGGCTTATCAAAGTAGGTAGTACAAAATAAACTATACTGATACATAATGATACATAATGTGCATAACGTACATACTACGTATCAAAAAAATCAATATCGATATACGTACCTGTATTGGCGCGAAATAATGTCCCGGGACATTATTTAGAGACACGTAGTTTAAAGAGAGTTAAATGGCAGGAATTTTTATTTAGAATGCTGTAATTATTTAAATTAGATGATACTCAAACTGTTCAGGTTAATTTTGGGGTATTCTAGTTAATCTGTTCGGAGCACTACTCACAAATAGGATATAAAAAACTCATAAGCAACTCGTAAGAAAATTTTAAGATCACAGATTTGGGTAGCGATGTAATACGTCACTGCTTTTTGTTAATGATAATGCCTGCCTTAGGATTATTTTTACGTCACTCGTTAGTGGGCTGAGAAAAAAAAAAACCATCACTATAGCCTATATCGAGAGAATACTATATGAACTTTATTATATCAAACGAAGAGTTAAAACCAGACCAACTGGATTATGTGTTTTACATTACCTCCCTCTCTACTTTTAAAAGAGGGCTTACATAGCGATAGTAAAATTTAAAAAAAAAATTCCAAATGTTCCGTAACTATAACAAATTTTTCCGAAATATCCCATGTTCTATATATATTTACTATGAGGGAGAGGGGGACTCAAAAGTGAGGGGGTAATGTAAAACACATAATCCAGTTGGTCTGGCCTAATAATAATGGAAATGAATTTAAAAAATTCTTCACTATATCGAGAGTTCACTATGTATTACTGTCATAAACCTTAGGTCGATATCCGATTGAATGCCTATATTTAACAAGCATTTATTGGTATGTATAAACTTTAATACGT